AATTTGGAAGGAGATTTTTTGCACAAGTAAAAATTTATTTTTACAGATAAAATTTACTGGCAACATGTCACTTTAAAAAGGTTTTGAGGGGCGCCTGGGTGGCTCAGTGGGTTAACCAGTTAAGCGACTGCCTTGGGCTCAGGTCATGATCCCAGGGTCCTGGAATGGAGACCTGTGGGTTCCATACTCAGTCCTCAGAAGAAGTCCCTGCTTCTCCCTCTGCCTTCTGCTCCTCCTGCTTGTGCCCTCTCTTTCTCTCTCTGTGTCAAATAAATAAATAAAATCTTTCAAATAAATTTTTTAAAAATTTTAGAAAGTAATATATTTCTTAATAATAATTTTTAAAAATTATTTATGTGACTATAGTTGACACACAATGTTACATTAGTTTCAGGTGTACAACTTAGTGATTTGCAGTATTTATACATTATGCTCTGTTTACCACAAGCCTACCTGCCATCTGTCTTGTTACATTGCTATTACACTATCTTCCACTGTATTCATTATGCTATACCGTTTATTCCTGTGACTTATTGAAGCTTATTAGAGGATTTCAGAATAGTAAATATTCTCCTTTTGTGTTCAAATTTAAGATCTTGATAAATGATAAAAAACAAAGATAAACATTTTCCTAGGGTTATGGGGAAATTTTTCCTCCATATATTTTGATTTCCATTTATTTACAAATTAAGGAAATGACATTTTGGGGGGTTTTAGAAAAAGAGGTTGTCTTGTGTACTATTTTGAGCAGGGATAGACTCTCACTGGCATTTGGACATTTAAGAGAGATACCAGGTTAATAAAACAAGTTGAGTAGAATAAACCTGTTGCTATACATGACTAAAAACATGTTTGAAGTAAAACTGAGTCTCTCAGATGGAAAGGCAAACTTATTTCCTCCCATAGTACATCTGTTTAGGGCTGGCTGACTAATCCTTTAAGAAGTTGCTGAGCTTCTTCCAAGTGCTGAAAACCTCATTCTGTTTTAAAAATAGCTGTATGTAATCTTATCTTCATACGTGTATTTTAAGAGTTTAACAAAAAGGATAATTATTTTTGCAAACTAATGATTTCTTGGGCCCAGACTCCAAATGAGGCTTTTAATTTTTTTTAAGGAGTCCTGGGAAAATAGTCCATGAGAGTTCAGGGTTTTGGGGAAGAGTTTTGTTTGTTTCATTTCAGTTTGATGTTAATATCTCAAATGTGTGAGAATAGGAAGCTTTTCCCTCTGAATTACAATAATAGTTGCAGATGCATTAGAATCATAGTGGTAGATGAGCAGTAGAAGCCCTCAGGAAACTCCTTAGCTTATCTGAGGACTTTTGGATTAATAATTTCATCAAACCAGCTACAAAGCTGAAATAAATTACATTGAAAATATATGTCAAAGTGAAATGAATGTAGTATTTTTAAGACTTCTCATTCATTTCTTTTATCTTACCCATTGACTTCAGCATTTGTAATCATTTGTCATTTAAATGCCAATGAAAAAGACAAAAAATAATTCTAGAGAGTGGTCCTTTTGACAGACCTCCCTTATTTTTCTTTGTTTTTCATCGCTTTGCTCCTGCACTTTTCCCTGATAGTTAATGGGGCACATTTCTCAAGCCAGACTGGCTGTTTCTACCATCACTACATTGGGCAGGTTACTTCTTTGTGCCTCCATTTCTATATCTGTGGAATAAATATCTACCTCACAGTTTTGTAGTAAAGGTTAATTAAGAAAATAGCTTGCAAATCACTTAGAATACTGTGAAGCATGGAATAGGCATTCAGAACCCCCGGATGTTCACTGTTATGATTTTTCTCTCACAGGGCATTTTCCCCTTTTCTGTTGTTTCTGACATCTCTCCCTTCAACCTCCATGTTCCCAGTTCATGTGTTTCTCTTCTATGATTAGATCAACCAATATTAATATCTTACTACTTGCTATTGCCTAATCAGATTTTGCCCTATTTTAGTCATTTCTTAATATAACAGTTGCTTTCCCACATGGTTTTCAAAGAATACTTTCAATTTCTGTGTTGTGATTAGATTGACAGATTTTTAAAAATTTCCTTCCCAGGGTAGTTTCCATTAAATGAGTTCTACTAGTTATGTTTAAGATGAAGGAGAAAAGAATACTTATTTAGTTAATGTGGTAAAACTAAATGATTTGTAATGGCTTGAATACCTGTCATCAAGGTATGTCTTCTAGCACCAAGTCTTCTGGCTTGCTAGTGGGGGGCCTAGAATCACTTAACCATAATGAAGGCTAAAATGGATGACCCTGTTACAGCTGTTAATTTAGAGAACAACATGGTGTGTCTTGTATTAGGAGTCTGTGCTATGTATTGATGTCAGCAAAAATCATTTACAAATTCTTGCTTATGACCTGTCTCTAAGATAAGTCTTTAAACACTTCCTTATGCCATTAATAGAAGACAGGAGACGAGAGCTGTGGCAGGCTGCTGTTTGATCTAGTGAACCTTTTGGTTAAAAACAATGGATATATGAGCCTTACTATTGATATTATATCCTTAAAACTTATTTTATTTTATTGAGCTAATTGTCCTTTTGATGTGAATCTAAGATATATTTCCTAAGTTATTGCATGTTTGGCAATCTCTTTTATTTCTTCTCTGTATTATATATAATAGGTTAAGGTGCTAGGTCCTCAAATGGAAGTTTACTTGTGGTTAAGAAAAAATGATTAAGACAGTAAAAAGGATAGTGTTTTTGTTTTACCTGCTTAATTAGTGGGGCTTTTCCTCATCGGGAGTTGTGTGGTTTTGTAGCTCTTAAAACAAACACCAGCATTCAGTAAGAAAGAAGCAGTATTTTGCGTGTTTTATTATATCTTGTATGGTGAGATCTCTTTTTGAGAGATAAACATATGTTTGGTGAGTTCATGTTTCTTGAAATATACATGATTCTTCAGACTGGAATCTAATGAAATAGGACTCCCATTTGAAAACCAAAGAGTTAAGGCTACAACAGAGGATAAAAGTGATCAGATGATTAGCCAGGGGCTAATAGAAATTCTGGGAAGAATGACAGATTGTATATTAGAAAGAAATACGATATCATATTCATTGAAGCTTTTACAACTAAAGATCTAAAAGAAATAATAGAAAATTACTGAAAGAGATGAATGTCTGAAACTTTAGAAATGCATGTGGTGTTGGATTAATCCAAGCAAGAAAGACTGATGGGCAGATAATAAATCACATTGTATAGGAAGTCTGCATTCCTTTTGTTCGGTACTTTTTCCTCTTTTTTTCCTTGCAAGATTCATTTAAACAGCTCTAGGCCAGTTTCAGAAAATTCAGCTCATGATTTTCATTATACCATATGTGTGTGATTCTTTGGAATAGATAAAGTATTATAAACACAGACCTCCAAATCCTTGAGTGGAGGAGGTTAATCTAAACCTTCCTTCTGTTCTGTGCCACATTGATAGCATTTTTCCTTTTGACAGTATGAACAATACAGAACACCTTTTCATATACAATCAATTGTAATGTCCCCAAACAAAAAGAGTTTGAAGAAAGGTACTGTACTTCTTGGGGAAAAAGCTATACTTCAACAACTGCATTTTGGGGGAGAATAAATAGTCATAAACTGGAAAATGTATATATATGTATTTTCATTGCAGAGAAGTATTAACTATTCTAAATTTTATTTTGCCATGGGTATGTCATTTTACTTAAAAAATTATGTGTATCTGCTTATTGTCTATCTTCATATAAATTTATATAGCAACTAGTATATTTCCTTTTTTTTCTTAATTAGTCCCACAGCACTGAATAATTGTGGAGAAATTTAGCTATGTTTACATATGTTGTTTGAAAAAAACACACTCTTCTTCTTAAACATTCGAACCTTTTAATCAGTTTTTACCATTCAGACTTGGCATTCGTTTTCTTAGTTTTTGTAGGTCTAAGGAGAAACTGAAATGTTTCCTGAAATATAAATAAGTAATAAAATTAATGTGCGTACAGAGTACACTCTTTATTCTTCTTGGATATATTCTTGTTGGTCCTTTTTTAATATATCCTTAATCTCTGGGGGAAAGAGAGATTATTACTCTGTTAAACTGAGTTCTGATTCCAGTCATCTGGGTTTCTATATACTTAAACAGAAAAGCTTAAACTCAAGTATTTACCTGTAAGCGAGTTCTATATTTTGTGACCATATTAAAAAATTTCCTAATATATGATGGAAAGTTTATAGGATTTGTTTTTTTTTAATAGCTACATCAGAAATAGGATCATTATTAAAATGCTATAAAAGCTAGTTCTTTCTTGGATCCTGTCAGTTAAAATATAAGAAGCTTCAGGTAGTGATTGCATAATAAAGATGATCCCAACTGTTAATAAAATGGAATAAAAGTTGTAAGTTTTGTCCCTTTAATATGCATAATGGTTTCCATTGAATCTTTTCTAATCAGTTTTAGGGACAATTTAAAATGTAATTCATTATACATTTCATTTTTGTTTTATAATAACATGCATAATGTTATGTGTGTTGGGAGCAAGCAGTGAAAGGAAGAGGGAGTGGGAGAGAGGGAGACTTCTGGGGGGCTGTCTCTCTCTAGTAAGAAGAAACAAGTAATCAAAATTATTAGCTGTACTTATTAAACTCCTGTTTCTTTATCAGTTATTGCTAAACTAACTTCTGATGCCTTGAACAGGGTTGAAAACATACACAAATTTTTGCGAAACTTCAAAGAAAATTTTATTTATAAATGGCCTGTAATTAAGACCATTTCTCTTACCTAAACAGTTTGTATTGGGTTTGAAATGTAAACAAAGGATACTTAATGAACTACCAGTTATTCTCTGCAGAGTTACTTATCTCCATTCCTGGTGTGTCTATACCTTTGGGATAGTGCAGTATGAGTTAATCTTTCACATGTTGTCAAAGTCCTAATGGACATCTGTGTTTCTGTATAGATTATTCTTAAATGGCTAAAAATTATAGAATTCTAATAGGAACTATTTTTATCCTTTTTGCAGCTATGTCATCTTATCTTTTAATTATTAAAACAGAGCTTCCTGCTGCTATTTCAGAATTTTTGTCTGGAGACCATACTGGGTAAGAAAAAATATTTCATGTTGTATCCACTCATTTGTTAATTCAATAAGTATTTATTAATGATATGGTAAAGTGGGAAGGACATGGAGGAACTCTCTCTTGGAGAAGAGGAAAGGAGAAATTTCTGGGAATATGAAAGACTGAGGTAGGAATGGGGAATGGTGAGAAGTATGGAGTGTAAAGGTCTTAAACAAAGGAGGGGAGGGGATCATACTGCTGTTGCTTCTCCACAAACCACGGTGGTAAAGTTACAACCGCACTTGTGAGATTTCTATTCTAAAGCATGGTTTGAAAAAATAAATGATTTGCAGGGACTTAATGATTTCATTTCCTGGTTTTTAACAATACTATAAACAATACTAAACCACAGTATACTTCCTTTCTCCTTTATTATTTATAAAATACTGGGTTCTAAAGACTATTGACTCAAAAAAAAAATAAAGACTATTGACTCATCTCTTTCTATGGGAAAGCAAACTTATTATACTTTTCCTTTCATTGCATAGGAAAAGAAATTTTTAGAAAAATACACTTGAAAAGACAGAATAAATTTTTTTAAGTGTCATCAAGTTATTTCACACAATTTCTAAACCACAGCACAAAAACCCATCAGACTTTTGGACTTAAATATTTGGTTGTTTTGCTCTAATATTTGTACTTGTTCTGGACTGCAGGGCAAATTTTCAAAATTAACTTTTTTAGCTTTTACAACTCGACTTCCATGAAAAAGTTCTACTTAGACAACTGCAAATACATATTTATATAAAAGGCAAGTATGGTATACTTTAGATCTGAATAGGAACTGGAAGTCTTTAATGATTTTTCATCATCAGAAGATACTGTGCCTTTCTGTAGTACTTTATTGTTTGTAGGGTTTCCATATTCATTTAAGTTTTATACCCTTAGTTTGATGAACAATTGCTATAAGAAAGAGCTATGTGAAGTTCACTTTTTGATTTGCTGTAAAAATATTCAGGACAACTTCCATTACTCAAAAAATTCTGTGTGACAAATTTATAGTGTAGGGCTAAGAACTCGAGGCAATTAGAAGTAGAATCAGGAACGTTAGACGAGGAGTAAGGAAGGAGACATGTGTTCTATCCATGTCAGTGACCTCAGGTAATTGATTTTACTTCTGGCCATACAATTTAATTTTGCCTTAGGTTTCTTCACCTGTCTTAATGGACATACCAATATTGCCTTCTTAAGAAAGTTGTTGAGATGATCAAATAAGATATTATATATATACATGCTCTTGTAAGCTGATAGCATAGTGTAAATGTGGAGAATTAAATTCCCGAATGTTGAATGTCAGATATATCCTCAATTAAAAATAAAGAAATTTCAATAATAATAATTATATTAAAGGTCGATTTTCCCTGTTTGCTCTGCCAGGGAGGTCAGAGTCAAATTTGAATATATTGCATAAACTGTTAATCCTAATAGTTGTCACGTGTTTGCCTTTTCCCTGCTCCTGAATTTGGTGACTTCTTTTTACATTTTTTTAATTGCTATATGTCTTTGTGGAAAGAGGAGGGATAACATGCATATAAAATTTTAGAAATAATTAAGGTAGTATGAGACAGAACTGCTATTAAAACTTAGATCTTCTTTCTCTAAATGTGATACTTTTGCCATAGCTTTCACTTTAAATCAGTTACCATTTATTTTGTTGGGTTTTTTCCTCATTTGTTTAAAAAAATAAAAATTAACCCCCATCTTACTCATATTAGTAGAAAATTGATTAAAATGATATTTTTATATGTCAGAAATGAATTTTTTTAAGGTATACTTCAAAATACTATGACCAGTTTACATCATCTGTGTTTTGTTGAAAATTGTACACCTCTCTAACAGCTTCATCTTGTTTTATATGTGAAGTACATTTGCTTGTTTTGTATTTCAGAGTTGTAAAAAACTCCAATAAGAGACTGTATTAAGTGGTTAGAATGCAGATAAATCACCAATCGACAAAGCTTAATGCTGTAAAATAATTAAGAAACAATTATGGTAATTGACAACTATCTAGGGCAGTTTATTTCTAAATAAAGTTATGTAGCATTATTTTTTCTGAGATCAATGTGATATTGTTATGCTTTTATTTTAGGGTTTGATTGACAATAAATTACACTTAAGGTCTTTCATGTGTGCTTATTTTCTATGAGATTTGATGTACCTTTGTGAAATATAAACCTTTATAAAGATGTTATCAAAAAGAAACTTTATGTTCATAATATTCTAATTTCAACAATTACTGTTAGAAGTCAGAAGCTATAATACTTATCCCAAACTTGTGAGGCATCTGTACTTTTCAGAGAATAATTTATATTTTAAAAATCTATGGCTGTTAAAAGTTGGAAGCTCTCTGTTAACATTTAATGATCTTGTCAGTGGAATATGATTGACACAATTAAGTTGTCTTGCATTTGAGTTACATAATTGTTATGGGATGTGAGTAAGATCCTAATTCAGAACATATGATACTCTTGTTCCATTCCATTCGAGAATGAAATTAAAGCAACTTATAAATAAATCTGGTTTTCATTAAAATATGGAAAAAAGCATCTGCATGCCAAAGCATTTGCAATACAGCTAAAGATTTATACTCTATATTTCATACTTGGAACATTTTTATCATATAGGATTAAATCCATAGATCAAACAAGTTTTCTAGGAAGTATAAAACTTTTTACCCTAATTCTTTTGGCTTAAAGGAATGTATATTTAGATTACAGTAGGAAAACAGGGGTTCTGTTAGATAATTCTTTTTCTCCTCTTAGGAAAAAATTTAAGGGTAGTATATTCTTCTAAAATCTTGATTTATAAAACATACTTATTTAATATGTGCTTTTGGAGATTACTTTTTGCTGGTTTGTATTTCTCAGGCTGGGTTTAATTTTCCAAGTTTAATCATCTCTGTTCTTTGGAAAATATCCATTGCCAAACACAATTCAGTTGCCTGTGACATGCATATCAAATCTAAACTACCTTTAGTGTATGTTACTGAATTGCCTTATAGTTGAATGATAAAGAAAAGCACTGTGTTTACAATTGGCTTTATTAATCGACCTTAATAAGTATAAGAAATGATTAATAATAACCAGTAGCCAAGCCAGGGATAGAGAAATTATATTTTGCAATAAAGTTCTTTTTATATTAGGAATTTAAAATTCAATCCTGTGACCAGGAGAGTGTAAAGGAAAGCACCATCTTGAGAAAAATGAGGCAGTAACTGAAAAATACCGTAAACTCAAGAGTGACTATTCAAGAGTAGAGGTCAGGAATGCCTGGGTGGCTTAGTCTGTTATGCGTCTGACTCTTAGTTTCGGCTCAGGTCATGATCTCAGGCTTGTGAAATGGAGCATTGTGCCTGTCTCTATCCCTTTCCTCCTACCTCTCCCCTGCTCGTGTGCATGCGCACTCACTCTCTCTCTCTCTCTCAAATAAATCATTAAAAAAGGGGGAGGTAGAGATTATTTCCATTTCTCCTGTCACTAAGATCATTCTCATCTTTTTGCTGCTTTTACAGACATATAAGATGAAGTTGTTGACTCAAAGGATCTGAGGTCTCTTCTTGTGCTAACATACCATAACGGTGACGCTGAGAGACTGCTGAGAGGAGGTGACGTTGTTTTCAGTCCCACAGTTCAGTGCTCTGGGCAGTCTCGTGGCTTCTGGGCATGAGTGAATTGTGGTCTGACATAGTCTAGTGATAATAGTATAAGTTGTAAAGTTCAGGATTTCAAAATGTTTATTCTTATGCAAGAGAAGAGTTTTGGATCCTAAGGATGAATGTGCCCGTTGCACAACTCCACCTTCATGATGGTAGGGACAGCAGAGCTAACACATGGAATCTGCTCTGCTGCTCCATTGGGTCTTTTTCCTCCTGACACTGCAGTTGTCTGGCTCTGATATTGGGTCCCTGAAGGAAGAAGATTTTAAGGGTAGAGCCCTGGGCTTTTTGCCAGCTCCAGAAATTTAGTTGCAAAGTGTTCCTCAATGAGGGATGTTTTGAGGTTCCCATTTTGATACTTACTCAAGAGTGACTAGAAGATGAACATGCGCAGTATCATTTTGTATTCTTAATATCTGTGCCCGTAGGTCCTCCTCCATACAGGGATTGAGAGGCTCATGTAAATGCAGGGAGCGCAGCTTCTGGTCTGTGAGTACTAGCGATACTTGTGCACAGGTTTTAGGATCTGACACAGGCATTTCCTAAAGACATGGATTAGAGTGAAAAAGGGAAAGTTGTGATCGTGGTGCTATTTCTGCTGCTGCTCCCTCTTTTGTTCGTTTAAAAGGAAGTTGTTGGCACCCACCAATACCCACTAAAGATACATTACAAAGGATTTCCTCTGAAACCAGGAATAAACGAGACACAGTGAATCATGAAGTCCATGTTAGAAGACAGGGGCTGAATCCCATGTAGGGGGAAAACCTTTTCTTTCATTCTTTTTAAATTGAAATATAATTAACATTTAACATTGTATAAATTTAAGGTGTACAACATTTTGATACACTTTTGTATTACAGGATGATTACCACAGTAGTGTTAGCTAACCCCACCATCACTGTTATATTTAAGATCTACTCTCTTAGCAACTTTCAGGTATATTATTATTGTTAACTACAATCACAATCCCCAGAATTTACTCATCCCATAACTGCAAGTTTGTACCATTTGACCAACATTGCAGTTCCCTTGGCTCCTCTACCCCCAGTCCTACTGGTAACCACCATTCTACTCTGTCTCCACGAGGTTGGCTTTTTCTGATTCTACATGTAAGTGATAAACAGTAATGATGTCTTTCTGCCTGACTTCTGTCACTTAGCATAACACCCTCATAATCCAACCATGCTGTCACAAATGGCAAGATTTCCTTCTTTCTCATGGCTGAATAATATTCCATTTATTTCACATATATTATATATATATGGTATTTAAAAATAAATGCATACATACACACCTCCACATCTTTATTCATTCATCCATTGACAAA